CTAATTCTTGGTTGAGTTCCAACAGTATAGATCCAGTCAAATTTGTTGTTTTACTGTATGCACAGGCCAGCTTAGATATCTCCTTCTTCATTCCCATGGCAAGTCCAGGAACCGGTGGGATGAATGCAGCTACAGCTGTAGCAGTGCCTGGATCTTTGTTGAGGTTTTTTGATGATCATCTTCTGGTATGAGTCTTCCAGAGAGTGCTGATGTTGGAAGTTCTTCTTCATATCGTATCTTAGTTCATTTTCTGCGTAGCTAAATTAGGCTTTGATCCTATGTATAAACACAAACAGACCCGTTGCCCACACTTTGATATGCCCTTTATACCATTGTGTAGAACTCATTGGAGGTCACCACACAGGAACTGCTTTTTTTTTTGTTATCATTAATCTACACTTACATGAAGAATATTATGTTTACTAGGCTCTCCCCTATACCAGGTCCCCCCTATAAACCCCTTTACAGTCACTGTCCATCAGCATAGCAAAATGTTGTAGAATCACTACTTGTCTTCTCTGTGTTGTACAGCCCTCCTCTTGCTTCCCCCCCATTATGCATGCTAATCTTAATACCCCCCTTCTTCTCCCCCCCTTTCCCTCCCTACCCACCTATCCTCCCCAGTCCCTTTCCCTTTGGTACCTGTTAGTCCATTCTTGGGTTCTGTGATTCCGCTGCTGTTTTGTTCCTTCAGTTTTTCCTTTGTTCTTATACTCCACAGATGAGTGAAATCATTTGGTATTTCTCTTTCTCTGCTTGGCTTATTTCACTGAGCATAATACCCTCCAGCTCCATCCATGTTGCTGCAAATGGTAGGATTTGCCCTTGAAGAGGTATATTTTTTAACAGCCTTTTGGTAGCTTCCAGAAGTTTTGGGAAAGGAGAGTGTTACATGGAAGATGGATACTCAAGAAGTCCTTTCTCTGTGCTATCTCACTTTCTGCAGCTCTTGTCTCAGCCAGGATGGCAGAGGCTGCCCCAGTTTGTGCAGCAGCTTTGAGAGTTCCATGTTGTGATCTTGATAGTAGCTTGATAGAAATGCTCTGCTCTGAGGTGTGAGGAGATAAAAGTACATTTAATTTTGTTTATTAAAGTACATTTCATATACTTTGATGATGTTTAAATCTGTATCAAGTATATTGTACCTGGATTAAAATTTATGTTAAGCATATGGACTATTTATCACAGCATAAATACTGTGTCTCTGTTCTTCAAAATACATACTCTATATACATACATACTAGGGAAAGAACTTTCATATTAAACATGACTTACTGTGCAGAATTAAATGTTAAAATAACTAGGTTGTTTTGCTAGAAATATAGCTGTAACAACTGATTGGGTCCAATACTATGCGCTATTAAAATCACTCAAACTTTGGAGAGTTAGTTTAGTAAATTTGTAATATAAAATACTCTGTCATCATTAATTTATATTAGATTTTGGAGGTTGAGAGATCTTTTAAGGAATATACAAAACACTGAGGGCTAAAGCAGTACTGGGTTAAGCCTTAAAAAATGTAGTAGGTAAACCAGCTAAACATAACCTGATATATTTGTACTCTTTGACCCAAGGAAGGAAAAGAATACATTGTAAACTATTTTGACTTGGAGGGAGGTTGATTTCTCTTCAATAAAGTACAATACTTCAATAATTCAAACTGTTGAAAATGGAAAGGGCTGTGTTATGAGATGGCATGTAGTGGGTTTGTGTATACTTTCAATGACTATTGGTAGGAATGCTGTGAAAGGGGGATTTCTGCCTCTGTATCTATACCTCCCTGCTTTAGAGTATTCTTAGATTTTTAGTTGGGTTGAACCTTCAAAAGTCTTTAATTTCTTCTGCTATTCTTTTTAAGTGTCATATCTGGTACTCCATTTAAAATGTTACAAAAAATATCTCCTTTTGTATTGAAAATTTCAATGTAAGCTAGTGATTTTTGCAGTAATCATAACCACTGGAGCTAGACTGGACATTTGAGCTATAGTCTACCCATTACTGTGACCGAGGGAGAACCAAACCTTTGTGTGGTTCAGGTGCCAGTGGGTCTCATTTCTCTATTTTTGGTCTTCCTCAGTCATTATTTCTAAACCACCTATAGGCCCAGCTGGCATACTCAGGCCAGAAAGGGGCAGATAAATTGTATTTCTCAGATACCACATCTGGAGCCTGATCACTGTGCACTTCCATGCTGCCAGCCAGACCTGGAATCCAGTGGGAGCCTAGGTCTGTGTGTAGAGTCTGAGTTCCTGAACTTCCCATTTTATTCTCTCTTGATGTCTCACTTCACATTGTTCCTTTATGACTGAAGCCCTGCTTGGCGTGACACCAGCCTGGGGTGCCCACCTCCTGTTAGCCTGCTCCTTAGAGATTTCTACAGGGTAAGTGATTGTCCAGTACCTTAACGAATTTCAGAATCGAACCTCCTGAAATCCATTTCTACTTTCTATGCTCTTGGAGCTTGTATTGAACCTTCTGATAACTGAGGATTATTTCTATCTACCATACCTCAATTTATTGGCTTTTTGGGCATCATTTTCAAACCTGGCTGCCTCTGTCAGTTCTGCCTTTGTAGGCAAACTCTTATCATGTGTCCTTTTATGTGTGTATGTTTGTCCACATAATCATTGCCCCTTAATCAAGTACCCCTCCCCCTTGTTATTCTGCTCCCTCATTAATGCAAGATAACTGTTAGGAGGTTTGCAAAGTACAATATGTCGAGAGTCTAATATGTTCAGATCAAAAGTTACAAGGACAAGAACTAGGTGATACGCAGGATTTGTTGTACACATATTGTTATCCGACAATAATTCAGAAGACAGTATTTTAGATGGTAAGATCACAGATACGATATTTGCTAATGTATGCCAATGTAGTCTGACTATATATGCAAATGCATACAAAATAATGTAATGAGAGGGAATAATAATACAGACTTTTATAACATGTAATGAGAAATATATATTTGTTTTTCATCTCTGGTTCCTGGTACATAACTCCTAAAATCCTTGTTATTTCCTGAGTGATAGGGGTGAGAGGAATGTCTTTTGTTATTCATAATGAACTTTTTTAAACCATACCTTAGTTTATGCTAATGAAATGTCTCTTAGTGGAGCCCTCGATAACTTCACATGGGGGCCTGACTGCCAGAAGAACCAAATCCCAAAATATGATTAGGGGGTTGGAACTTTCAGCCCCACTCTGCCTCTGGAGAATGGAAAAAGGGATTGGAGGTTGATTCAATAATCATGGCTAATGCTTTAATGAATCATGGCTAGTAATGGAACCTCCATCAAAAGCCTAAATGAAGGGATTTGGAGAACTTCAGGGTTGGTAAATGTATCCACATGCTGAGAAGGTGGCACGTTGCAAACTCTACAGGGACAGAAGCTTCTGTGCTCAGGACCCTTGCAGACCCTGTGCTATATACCTCTTCATCTGGTTATTCATTTCTATTCTTTCTAATAATAGAAAATAAAGTGTTTCCCTGGTAATAATAAAGTATTTCCCTGAGTCCTGTGAACTGCTACAAATTATAAAACCTGGGGAAGGAGTGATGGAGGGATTTGTAGCCAAGTTGGATAGAAGTGTGAATAATCTGGAACCCACTACTTGCTATTCGATTCTGAAGGGGGTGGGGAACAGTCTTATGGGACTGAGCCCTTATCCTGTGGAGTTTGAGCTAACTCTGGGTAGCTGGCATCAGAATTGAATTAAATTGTAGGACATCTAGTTGGTGTCTGCAGAAAATTGGAGAATTGCTTGGTATGGAAACCCCACACATTAGTGTCAGAAGTATTTGAGTAAAAGCAGATTTTATGACTACACAGTAACCTTGTTGAGAGATGTAGGAGTACTGATATACTGAGGTTGTATTTTTTCTTATTTTCCTCTGCCACCAAATTTTAATATTATGTCTCAGTAAGTCAGTTTGATAGGAGTAAGATAAAATGTTAACAAAAATGTTCTATAGTGTCTTTTAAACATTTTAGTTTTAATAAACATATAAATAACTTTGACATAAATGAAAAGGATATATTTTATATTGCTTTCTTGAAACACTATGGAAATAGCTTTTGAATTTCTTTCAATGTATGACGATTGTTTTCACAGTGCTCTGAAGGTCTATTTTAATAGCCAAAGAAAACTATGGCTTTGAGAATACAGTTTATCAAAACAACAGGAAGAACCCCCACAATGCCTTTTAGATAGAATTTAATTATGGGTTTAATGAGGATAGGCCCTGTCTCTATCAGGTTGTATTAAAAAAAAGTCCTCATAGTCTTGAAGTATTCAAAAAGTATTCAAGTAACTTTAGACCATCTTAGTATTCTCAGACCTCTGTAGAACTCTTAGTTAACATGATGTGTTAAATATTGTGGAGAAAAAAAACCAAATAATATTTTAGTTTCTGAGTTAAAAATTTTTTTTAACCAAATCAATCTACTTAAATTCATAAGTCCAAACCACACATTAACTGGATTATGAAATCAAAATAATATTAATAAATTTTAATATATGTGAAAGAAACGTTAAGGTAAAAGTACAGGGTCTACAAACTAATAGCACTGATTTTCATCACTATTCTGAACAAAATAAACATGAAGTGCTAGCTACAGACCACAGTTTGGGTGTTTCTCTTCTCCTAAACCTAAATTATCAGCAAGTATGTTAAATACTTAGGAAATAAATTAATTCATCTAATTAGCATACTAAGAATTTAAAGCTTAGTATAACAGTAGTCAATATTCTTATGCAGGCCATACTTAACCACTGTAGAGTGACACAATGAAAAAAAATAGAAGTATTTTGGTTCTATTTTCAATTTCCAGTTGACAAAGTTTGTGTCTTGATTTCAGTTAATATTTTTGGTGCTAAAATTTCTGTGAACATATTACTTCCTTGGAATGAGATTTGCCTTCTCTGTTCTCATTCCAAATGGCAACTTCTATTGTCTTCTTTTATTCTTGCATGACAGGCATTGGAAAAATCAAAACAAGCATCCTGTATGCATTGAAATTTATATGCCATTTTTACATTTTAGAAAGGTTCAATTTTGATTTTAACCACTTTTCTAAGAAAATGGATATATTATTATTAATAATTTTGTTTATATAGTTTGTATTTTAAATCTCTATACTTACATCAGGATCCAATGGAGATTATTTTCTTCCTTTGCTCCTTCCAAGGCATTTTGTTTTACCTTCTTCCAGTAACTGACACCAAAAACCTTTACGAGAATCAAACCTAAAAAAATAAAAAATACAAAACACACAAAAAAGTATTTCTCAAGGGATTTATAAGGTATGATGACCAAAAACATTAATATTTTTATGTGGGTATTAATCTATAACCAGGGAAACTGGCATATTTTTTGACTTATATCACTTTGCATAAAATGTTTTGGCATACTTTTGAATTCTCAGTCCATCTGTCATATTTGTGAGTTTGCCAGATTCCTAATAGAAAAATTGTCAGCAGAAGGTCTCTTATTAATAGATATTAATAAGACTATCTCCTTCATCTGGAAGAAAATTTTTTATAAATTTTAAGCCCATTCTTTCCCTTTGTAGGGTTTAAAAATGACAAATCAAGCTTCACCCGTATCTATGGATTTACATAGTACTTATACCATATGATTACAAAGTAATAGAAAAGAAAAGGTTTTAGTGTGCCATGGAGAAATTAATTTTAGGATTCTCTAGCTATAACCCATTCATATTTTTTTTACAGCTATGTTCTTATTTTTGGTATAATCTCTGTATTAAAGTAACAGCAGCTATTAATGTGGATTTTCATGGCATAATTATAGTCAACATAATAGTAGCACATTAAATTTATATTTTAATTTACCAAAATATTTCATTCTAAGTCTTTGTCATTTGAGCTTTCATTATAATCCTTTAAGGATATGGAGTATAGGATTCTTCCTAGTTTATGACATTTGGCATAGTGTTTGTCTCTTTGTGAACACTCACCAAATGTAAGTTGAATAAAAAATGAAAAAGAAGGAAGTATTTGTGAAGGTTTATTTATCTTGAATTATATACTTTTTCAGTATGCAGGTAATGATTCACATCTAGGCCTCCTGACTCTAGGTCAAGGGCCTTTTCTTATTCACTTTTCTCTGGGCATGTGTTTTACTATCAGTAATTATGAACAAATAGTAATTTCCACCCTTGAATATGAAAGTGAAAGTAATAGTCATGAATGACAATTTTTTCACATTGCTTTTGTTTTTCAGTGATTTTATTGCTGTTTTTTCTTCTTCATTAAAAGAATGATCATTTAGTATTAGTTCCTTTTGTCTTAATCCATACTACTCAGGATACTGCTTACAATTTTTGTTAAAATCATAGTGTGAACAATGAACAAATGGAAACTGAAATAAAAATACATCTTACAAAAAATAAACTTTAAGTGGATTAAAAGCCTAAATATAAAACCTGAAACCATAAAACACTTAGAAGAAAACATAAGCAGTAAACTCTTGAACACTGGCAGTAGTAATTTGTTTCTGGATAAGTCTCCTCAGGAAAGAGAAACAAAAACAAATGTGAACAAGAGGGACTACATCAAACTGAAAGGCTTCTGCACAGCCTAAGGAACCATCAACAAAATGAAACCTCACCCCACTGCATTGGAAAATATATTTGCAAATAATATATCTGATAAGGTGTTAGTAACCAAAATTTATAAAAAATCATACAACTCAGGAGAGGATTAAAGATGGCAGCATGAGAGGTGAGATAGAAAATCTGAACAGACCAATTAGAAGTAACAAAATCAAACTGGTAATCAAAATACTACCTAAGAACAAAACTCCTGGACCAGATGGCTTCACCACTGAATTTTATCAAACATTTAGTGAAGACCTAATACCCATCCTCCTTAAAGTTTTCCAAAGAGTAGAAGAGGGAATACTTTCAAACTCATTCTATGAGGGCAGCATCACTCTAATACCAAAACCAGGCAAAGACACCACAAAAAAAGAAAATTACAGACCAATGTCCTTGATGAACATAGATGCAAAAATACTGAACAAAATATTAGCAAACCAAATTCAAAAATACATCAAAAAGATCATCCATGATCAAGTGTGATTCATCCCAGGGATGCAAGGATGGTACAACATTCAAAAATCCATCAATATCATCCACCACATCAACAAAAAGAAGGACAAAAACCACATGATCATCTCCATAGATGCTGAAAAAGCATTTGACAAAATTCAACATCCATTCATGACAAAAACTCTCAACAAAATGGGTATAGAGGGCAAGTACCTCAACATAATAAAGGCCATATATGACAAACCCATAGCCAACATCATACTTAACAGAGAGAAGCTGAAAGCTTTTCCTTTAAGATTGGGAACAAGACAAGGATGCCCACTTTCCCCACTTCTATTCAACATAGTACTGGAGGTCCTAGCCATGGCAATCAGACAACTCAAAGAAATAAAAGGAATCCAGATTGGCAAGGAAGAAGTTAAACTGTCCCTGTTTGGAGATGACATGATATTGTACATAATAAACCCTACAGAATCCACTCAAAAACGACTAGATCTAATATCTGAATTCAGCAAAGTTGCAGGATATAAAATTAATACACAGAAATCTGTTGTGTTCCTATACACTAGAAATGAACTATCAGAGAGAGAAATCAGGAAAACAATTCCATTCACACTTGCATCAAAAAGAACAAAATATATAGGAATAAACCTAACCAAGGAAGCGAAAGACCTATACCCTGAAAACTACAAGACACTCTTAAGAGAAATTAAAGAAGATACCAGTAAATGGGAACTCATCCCTTGCTCATGGCTAGGAAGAATTAATATTGTCAAAATGGCCATCCTGTCTAAAGCAATCTATGGATTCAATGCAATTCCTATCAAAATACCAACAACATTTTTCAATGAACTAGAGAAAATCATTCTAAAATTCATATGGAACCACAAAAGACCTCAAATAGCCAAAGCAATTCTGAGAAGGAAGAATAAAGCTCCCCAACTTCAAGCTCTGCTACAAAGCCACAGTAATCAAGACAATTTGGTTCTGGCACAAGAACTGACCCATAGACCAATAGAACAGACTAGAGAGTCCAGATATAAACCCAGCCATATATGGTCAGTTAATATACAATCAAGGAGACATGGATTTACAATGGGTAAATGACAGCCTCTTCAACAGCTGGTGTTGGCAAAACTGGACAGCTACATGCAAGAGAATGAAACTAGATTATTGTTGAACCCCATACATAAAATTAAACTCAAAATGGATTAAAGACCTGAATGTAAGTCATGAAAACATAAAACTCTTAGAAGACACCATAGGCAAACATCTTCTGAATATAAGCATGAGCAACTTTTTCCTGAATGCATCTCCTCAAGCAAGGGAAACAAAAGCAAAAAAGAACTTATGGGACTACATCAAACTAAAAAGTTTCTGTGTGGCAAAGAACACCATCAACAGAACAAAAAGGCATCCTACAGTATGGGAGAATATATTTGTAAATGATGTATCTGACAAGGTATAAAGAACTTACATGCCTCAACACCAAAAAAGCAAATAACCTGATTAACAAATGGGCAGAAGATATGAAGAGACAGTTCTCCAAAGAATAAATTCAGACGGCCAACAGACACATGAAAAGATGCTCCATGTCACTAATCATCAGGGAAATGCAAATTAAAACCACAATGAGATAACACCTCACACCAGTAAAGATGGCCAGCATCAAAAACACTAAGAACAACAAATGCTGGTGAGGATGTGGAGAAAGGGGAACCCTCCTACATTGCTGGTGGGAATGTAAGCGAGTTCAACCATTGTGGAAAGCAATGTGGAGGATCCTCAAAAACTAAAAATAGAAATATTATTTGACCCAGGAATCCCACTCCTTGGAATTTACCCAAAGAATACAACTTCTCAGATTCAAAAATACATATGCACCCCTATGTTGATTGCAGCACTTTTTACAATAGCCAAGATATGGGAGCAATCTAAGTGTCCATCAGTGGATGAATGGATAAATAAAAGGTGGTACATATACACAATGGAATACTATTTGGCCATAAGAAAGAAACAAATCCTACCATTTGCAACAACATGGATGGAGCTGAAGGACATTATGCTCTGTGAAATAAGCCAGGCAGAGAAAGACAAATGCCAAATGATTTCCTTCATTTGTGGAGTATAACAATGAAGCAAAACTGAAGGAACAAAATAGCAGCAGACTCAGAGCCTCTAAGAATGAACTAGTGGTTACCAAAGGGGAGGGATGTGGGAGGGTGGGTGGAGAGGGAGGGAGAAGGGGATTGAGGGGTATTATGTTTAGTACACATGGTGTGGAGCATCACGGGGAGAACAGTGTAGCACAGAGAAGCCACATAGTGAATCTGTGGCATCTTGCTGCACTGATGGATAGTGACTGCATTGGGGTATGTGTGGGACTTGATAATATGGGTAAATGTAGTAACCATATTGTTTTTTCATGTGAAACCTTCGTAAGAGTGTATAGCAATCATACCTTAATTACTTAAAAAAAAATTTATACAACTCAACACCAAATAAACAAATAACCTGATTAAAACTGGGCAGAGGACCCAAACAGACATTTCTTAAAGAAGACATTAAGATCATCAACAGACACATGAAAAGATACTTAACATCACAAAGAATCAGGGAAATGCAAATCAAAACCACAATGAGATAACACCTAACACCTGTCAGAGTGGCTAATATCAACAAGTTAGAAAATAACAAGTGTTGATGAGAATGTGGAGGAAAGGAAACACTTGTCTACTGCCGGTGCGACTGAAGATAGTGCAGTCATTATGGAAACAGTAAGGAAGTTTCTCAAAAACCAAGAAATAGAAATACCTAATGACATAGGGATTCCATTTCTTGGAATTTACCTGAAGAAAACAAAATCACTAATTTGGAAAAGATGTATGTACTCCTATTGCAATATTATTTATAACAGACAAGTATGGAAGAAACCTAAGTGCCCATTTGTAGACGAATAGATAAAAAAATGGAATGAATATATACAAAGGAGTATTAACCATAAAAAAGAAAGAAATACTGCCATTTGTGATATCATGGGTGGACCTAGAGGGTATTATGCTAGGTGAAAGTCAGAGAAAGAAAAATGCCATGTGATTTCACTTATATGTGGAATCTAAAAAGCAAATGAAATGAACAAACAAAAAAAACAGAAATAGACTTACAGACATAAAGAATAGACTGGTGGTTGCCATAGGGCAGAGGGTCAGGAAATGGGTAAAATAAGTGAAGGAGGGAAAATTTAGTGAGGATGTTTGATATCTTGATCTGGGTGATGGTTAAGTAAGTGTCAAAATATACATGTCAAAATTCATGGCATTGTATTTCAAGATTTATGCATTTTATTGTATGTACCTCAATTAAAAAAATAAGATACATTTAAATTA